CTAGATAGATAGTTAGGTTGATTGAATAATTGATGGCGGTGAGCATAATTTAGCCACAGAGTTCATGACCAGAATATGTTTTACATATCAGTTAAAGAGCCAGCCACGGCGGATACATTAATATCACGAGTGCAACAATAACAGATATATTATTAATATTATTATTACTTGGTTGTTGTTGTTATTATTATTACTATTATTATTATAGATCTATTATGATTCACTCCTGATTATATGTGTCTTATAATAATAATAATAATAATAATAATAATAATAATAATAATAATAATAATAATAACAACGTTGAACGTGATTTTAACCAAAATCATATTTGCTGAATACGAATTTTTGAATACGAATTGATATATTGTTTGCAAATGAAAATTGAAGATGATCAACTGTCCGCCTAGCATAGGTTTAAACATATCTTTATTTATTATATTTTTATATTATTAACTCATCATATCTTTAATGACCAAATTATTTGCTAATAGAGATGTATGTAAAGCCCTATCCCAAATACAACGCGATACACTTATGCACAGCGAGATTGCTCATGGGAAATAGTCATGTTATATATATGTATATATTCTCTCCATATTTTTTAGGTATACACATTCCTTGACTGAAAAGCTGTAGAATGGGATATCATGTCTCATGGAACAAATTGAATACGACTATATGTAAATATGTGCCTTTGTCACTCGGCAAAATAACGATGTCCAACTTCTAACGATGAACAAATTGTCTTCTAGAAGAATGTTGTGCTAGACTGTGTAATGCTTACACAATTTAGGTCTCAAGCTAAATTGTAAAAACGATGCATTAAATCAATACTGACAGCCTTAATTATTATCCGGGTATTTAATTGCGATTTTCCGAGTTGCTGGCTGATTCTTGAGCATTAATTTTGTATTAATTTAACACACAATCTTCTGTAATCCCCAGTGTGACAAATTATGCTTCTATTTTTCAAGTACGATATATATTAGTACCATTTCAGCAAACTGTCTTCCATGTGCTTCCATATATGATGCAATATGCAGTGGGCCCACAGAGTCTGATGCGCGTTTTAGGAGTATATAAATTCTAAAAACCAGTTATTTGGAAAGATCACCAGCGACAGCCTTGAACACACTTTAAATTCGAATTTATGGCAATTTTGATGCACAGTCCCGTATCTTTCTGAATTGTAAAAATGGACGCACCATGTGTAGGATATACTCCAGCACAATGCGTTTTCTCATAATTTTATTAAATTCAGTATCTCAGCGGTGTGGCTTTTACGAAAGTGTGATGAAAGTGCGCGCACTCTTCTCCAGGATTTAAAGTCATTCCAGCATTTGACAAATTCTCGATTATTTGACAGCTTTAACCTTTTTTATCACAAAAAATGCCCCTGGTCTCTTTCCCACTGCGATGGACATGCGTCATTAAACATTAGTGAAACTAAAGGTCGCATTGGCATCCTTAGTTTTATTGTTAGTATATTTTGTATTTAACCATGATCGCAATCCGCAAAACGTAATTTTATTTATTCCTGCAACTATAATTGCCAAAATTTTGAAACCTCGCAACGTTGCCATCGTTAATGTCACTGCACGCTAAAATAGTAAGTTATATATGACACCTACGCGTGTGGTTCTATGATCACTCGCGCACGCGTGTACGTGCGTAAGAGTCTAGGCTGGCAAGAAAAACGAATTTCAGCCGAAAACGTTAGAATTTGTGCTGCTGGCGTCCATTTGCTCTCTGAGAGATCGCTATTCTGAAAGAACAAGCTATAGCATAGCTGCACACTACTGGTAGGACCGATACCTCTATTTTATACAACGGGGCAATGTCATTTCTATGCTGTGCGGCGCATTTTTCCTATACATGAAAATACTGCCAATCTCGCAACGAAATGTCTACTCAAACTATCGTGGTAGTTAATCGCCCTAACCATACGCACCCACCTAATTCGCTACTGCCAAACCATTGAATCTTCGTGGCTCTCTAACTAAATGAGTGACATCCCGAATACCACATATCATCTACAACAAAGTACGTTTATTTGTGTACGTAAGATAATAATTCACTGACCAATCCTTCTGTGATATATACGTAGACACGACCCTCGTCTCCAATCACGCTGTACTGTGGCGCCCCCACCAATAGGTCGTCCATACTGTCTCCATTGATGTCAACTGCGCATACTGCGGCACCAAAGTATTCCCCAAACTGCAGATCAAAGTTAGAAAGATTGAATAAAGGAGAGGAGCCTATGACGGGCACATGGATCTATAGCCGTTTGCCTCCTCTCTATCCCGAAGACAAAACTAAGCAAGACTAAATTATGCATAACACATTACCGTTTCTTAGAGCTACATTCGCTCTAACATCGTGTGCTCTATAAACGACATTGATACTGGGCAGGGTACTATCAAACACCCTACATACTTATATAGTATACAGTATATAGGGTCTCTGGTACTATTTATATTAAAAGCTATGTAATGTGAAATAATTTATGCCATTCTTCCTGTAAATATTATGCAATAACTCTGCACTTACTTGTGGTGACGGATGATCGCCCATGAATCGCTTGACAATCTGTATTCCAGGCCTTGTTGTTATGTCCGTTCTATTATGGAGATACTCTGTTCGATATACGAATACCTGGCCAAAATTGTGACGCAAGACGTATTGAATAAAACCAAACTCTACTGGATTTGTTCCCTCACCCAGCTCTGCAACGTTCCTTCTTTCTTTTCCTTATTAGTTTATTTCTTTATCGTTATTCTGCAGCCACCCATGGTCCTGGTCATGCTATTATGTCTAGCGATGTATTTATTTTCTCTGTAGTGTATACATAAACGATTGTGTCAGGTGTTTGGATCATATTAAAAGTAGATAATAGGGAACTATTAACCCTTATTCCCTATTATCTACTTCTGATCATATCTACCTCTCCGTGATTATGCAGTCGCGGGGCTCCTGCTGCGTAGTAGGTTAAACTGTCTTGCGTTAATTTGCCGGAAGTGGTGGAGTAACCTATATAAAATGTCATTCTCAATTTAAGGAGGTAATTGTTTGCGATTGATTGATCATATTCAAATAAAGTTATCAATTAATGTAATAATATACATACGTATAATAATAGACCAATTATACGTATTTGTATAATTATTATACATATAATCGATGTATTATTTCGTATTCGCTCTACTACACTAATCAAAACACAATTTAATCCAATGACCAATAAGACTTCAATAACTAAATTTAAACAATTTAAAGATCCGTAATATAAAATTTCTATATCTACATTCTAAGACAATACATTTTATTGGTCAATTCGCGCAATGGCTACGCGTCCGGTCATCCATTACAAAGCTCAGCACAGTTTCCCAAATCTACGTCACGATTAGGCCACGCCCCTTTCAAATCGTAGATTTTACTGGATTTACTATTGCTTCAAAAGTTAAAAAAAAACACTTTTTTGGATAAAATACCTAAAGGTAAGTAATATTATGGTAAAAACTTATTGTTTATTGTTTTTTACTGAAAAAATATAGTTGGGTTCAATAAGAAATATATGACCGAACGCGTAGCCTGGGAGCTGAGCATCCGGTAACCGGAAGCGTAGCCACGGCATACAGTTTATTAATCTTGCCCAATGAGTAAGCATTACCTACCAAAATAGGAACTTGTGTCAAAGTAGTGGGAAGGTGCGAGTGGGATGTCGAGAAACGATTCGTTTCCATATTTACTTGCTATTGCGGTGCCTGTAAAAGACGCATTCGGACAGGACTAAGTTCTTACTAGGGGCATAAAAAGGGCATATAGGCCTACTCACCCAAGATCTAGACGGTTGCATGTCTATCGGTTCATTTTTGCTACAACAATATGTGTAAGTTCATGTGTGTTAATTCAGCTTATACTAAATCCTTTCGCACAGTTATGAATGTTAAGCTTGTCTGTCTATATGCCGGTGTGACTATCCTCATGTTACCCGATCGCGTTGATTATTACCAAGACCCTACGGTCATAACAACGATTTAACAACCATTATTTAGCATGCATGCTGTCATAGTTCATATATTACCCCTGAAATTGTCAGCTCCTGGCACACCAAACAGGATTTCCTTGTTCGAATCCTAAAACGTTGCAACAAGAATATGTCAACACTTAATTCTCTTTACAACCCTTGCTGTTATTGCTTTACCTAAGGAAATTTTGCCAAAAGGTCTCTTTGACCTCAACCCGACTTCTACTAGCACGTAATTATTTATTGTTCGTGACGCAATTAAAAGCGAATTTTTAATTAAAACTTGTAAATTTTCCCCATGTACATTTTTATTCTCGCTCACGGTTATAACGACGCATTTACACGCATAGACTATATGTCACAACTTCTCAACAAGTTATAGTTAATAGATTGATGATTATTGACATATTCTTATTTAACTCCTCGTACGTTTACGTGTTTACCTGTGTGATGTGGACAGAAAATCCGGCCACTGCTAAAAAATATTGATAATATGTATCTTTCCCTTGAAGTCCTGCAAAAGATTTGTGTAAATGTAATACACTTAGGAAAGATTGAACCCACTGGTACATAATGGTACTAAATTATAATCTGTCTCGTTATGTGACATGATATATATTTTACGCTATCTAAGGTAATTCAATAATTTTGTGAAGAATAACTTAATTACTGTGAAATTCTTCATTGAATTATTATTGCTTGCTGATGCACAGTAAGAGGCTTATAACTTATACAATCTAAAAAATGCACTTATTTGGGCATATAAATATAATAATTGTTGTCTTCGTTATAATAATTATATATATATATATATATATATATATAATCATTACATTTTATTATTAAAATAAACGAAATAATCATAATTTCGTTAATAATTTTTTTTGTTTACTTTTAATCCAGAGGGGTGAGTTTGGAATAATTCTCCATCTTCCTCGAGTACTGGGGTCAATATAAAAGCAGAGACCATTTACATAGTTCAGCCGTCGTCTACGGTTCCGCCACAGGTGACCGCATACCTACATAAACGCCAATCAAATACCCACAGGATGTTATCGTGAAACCTAAAATCTAGATTGTACAGTAACTGTTGCTATCACTAACAAACATTTGCCAGCAATACATATGTAGTGGTAAACCGTCACAACCTCTCCTCTAATATGAGCTACAGATATAGTGCCGTCAGTATACTGTTAGTCTCTAATTGCGTTTATATCAATTTTCCCAAAATTTTTGCACGCGACTAAAATTTCGATCATAAACTAGGTTGGCGGTCCACGCATTATTCTGCCAAAATAATCTTAGCTCATAATTGAGTTATGAGAAAGTTTACGTTGATATGTGACAAGTAAACCTACTACAGTAGGCCTATCGACTCTTCTAGCATTTAGTAGCACCGTAAGAGGGATCAACATCATGAAATCATTATGCTAAAATGACTGCATGGCGTTAAGTGAAGATCATTTGAAACCCACTCAAATCGCCTACCAATTTATTTTTGAGTAGTAATCAAGAGGGTAGTATTAGGCTATATTATCATTATTATCCTAATTATCATTATGGTGATTATTATTGGATTTACAGCCATTGATGGGTTTATTTACCGTTATCATGTCATCCGTTGCGTCCATGCTACCGCCCAGAAATTGTCCATTTTTATTTTCGATTATGTCTACGTATTCTGTATTATTAAACAGATACACGCGCTTCCGTTGAACTGCAATTAAAAACTTATCCTTAATAAAGGTAGAAAATAAGCGCATACCCTTACATCATCGCACACACGGCTGTTACATCTTCACACATTACATTAACTATAATGTTCTGTATAAGATCATCAAGGCGATAAGGTATTTATGAAGTAAAGAAACAGTCAGATCTCATTACCTCTTGTTTCATTAATGAGCAACATGCTGCATGTTGCATTATGCTCCGTGCAAATGTACACGTCGCCAGTAACTGAGCCATCCAGCACAGGGTTTTTATTGACGTACTTTGGCGTTCCTGCTAGGAGCCTATGTAAACATGTGTTCATAATAAAACTCGTACGCACAATTTCCTATCTTCTGTATTACGCAGATGTTTGCATATTAATATAACTTCTAGGTAAAATATAAGACTGTCTGACTATGAGTTACGTATTAGAGCTCATGTCGTGCAAAATAATGGCAAGTACTTGGTCTACCACGCACGAGCACTTCTGAATTGCGTTGACACCGGAAAAACCAGTAAGTTTAAACCACTTGTTTAAACGATCACATCCAGAGAGGACCATGGGTCGCATTAATTACAATTCGCTCTTACGATATTTGAGTATTATGCCACACATAACAGTTGTCTATATCGGCCAGAGTTTACTCGTTGCTCTAAGTAAATGCCTCACCAGTAACGGTCATTCGCTTCGTTCCGTCTAAGTAATGCCACCGAATATCCAAAGAAGACGTCGCGTTTGCCTGAATGGAATATGATCGCGTTGTCCACATCAAGGTTGTAAGCTCCGGTGCTGTCTGTGAGCAGTGTGAACGCGATTGCGACGCAGACAGCAGAAGCCACGAGGGAAAACTGACACATTTTTCAGTTTACACAGCAAGGGATTGTCCGTCAGCGCGTAACGTATACTGTCAACACATATATTTGTTAGATGTTCACGGATGGCACACGCCGGACTCTCAGAAAACAGTCACACGGCATGAAATGCGCCGACAGAATACCGAGTCAATATGTTGAAACACATCGGAAGGAGCGCTATCAGTATTTAGCCTGGGAATAAAGGTTACATGTGCTTTTAGTAAGGGAAGTAGCGTAATTTCCCTGCGAGTCATTTCCTTTGCCGTCATCCTATGTGGCTACACCAGCTATAGGAAAGTGTGCCATGTTGTCTTATCCGATTGACAAACTTAAATGACACACCAACATACGTGATTCCCGTATGTATTTTCGTGCGCTATTAAGCTATTAGAGTGTGTAACATGTTACACACACATATGCGCATATGTGTAGGAAAGTGGCTGGTGTATTATTAAAGGGCTGAGTTTACAGATTCTGGCAGCAAAGTGCAACACGAGAATTGCTGCCCGCGGAAGCGCAATAACAGGAAAGGCGGGGAGCCATGTCGCCAGTATTTATATACGAGGCCTGTACATGGCATTTACGCGTACAGGATAAATATTGCCTGGAGAGTCGATGTTAGCCTTTTAGTGTGCATTTTGGTTATTGCTTTGATGGAAGGGGAAATTTCCATATGTTTTTCATCACATTTATTTTAGGAGTATTTACATAGATCATAGTTATTTTGCTCCGCAGTTTATGGGGCAGCCGCCTATATGCACCCCTCAATCGCTCTTGTGAGTAACTGTTCTGGTCTCTAGAAATCATAATAGGACAGCATCCCACCACAGAGTTGCATTCAGCATGATTCACTGGCTAGCCACCAATAATTTCTTACTGCCATTCTCGGTGGGATTGTTCAAAGAGCCAAGAGGTGGCACTACCGCGTAATTACCTAACCCCTCTCCCATGGTATCATGGGCGAGCAACTGCATGGACGAATAGTAATTAAGTATTATATATATATATATATATATATATATATATATATATATATATATATATATATATATATATATATATATATATATATATATATGGTTGTAGAATAACCGCACATCGTGGTAGACGCAAGAGGATGATAGGGTGGGGGGACGTAATTCTCCCCAGCGTCTCCTATTTCCTTACTGACTATCTGCCGCATGGCAGGTGCTGACGCGGTCAACCGAACCTTGCATTATTTCGCCCATACAAAAATCGGAGTATCAGTGGCAATACATCCATTCTGTGATAGGATGCGACGTAATACATGTTAGTCATGCGTGATATTCTTATAGTTTCTATTGGAAAATTAAATTATTGATATTTTTGCTCTGGAACCGCATGTAACATATCAGTAATTGTTGATTATGGTTCCGTAATTGATGTCAGAGTAATTCGAATTGTTTTGTAGCGTTTATCGACGTGTTAATAAAGCGTTAACGTTAAGCGTAAAATATGGGTTTTAGAATTCGAATAGTAAATTAGTCATAGTAAATTACAATGTAGCATGTCATTTCAACGCGCCTACTGAGCCTTGGATTCAAAGTTAAATTAAACGGGTGTAGCTTTTGTAGTCTAACTCTAGCTAATTATTGAACACTTCTGTACGGAAAATTCTCCTAAAAACCTCAATTGTAATTGCTAAAATAAATCATTATAAGGCACCCGCCTGTGTAACACAGCATGGAGCACCTCATATATCAAAACTCTATTCAGACATGCGCCATAAATCCAAATTAATTAAATGAGTCGTACTTTTGCGCTCAACCGTTTTTTTTTTTGCACATTAGTGTACTAGCTAAAAAAAAAACATTTTAATGTGCCCAGCTCATATAGTGTAGCTAACAGCATCATCTGTGTGTTAAAACTTAATTCAGACATGTAGGTACTAGGAACTGTATGTGCCGATTATTAACGACAACAAGTCTACCCCTTCCTTGATTGCAACCACATCACCGCACGGTACCCTGACTAACGATAACTTTTACCCATAGTAACAACCGTGCGAGAGTTGAGAATGCGTTCTTAACTGCGTCTCACCAAACCGGTTTAGTATGCATATTACGCTCAATAGTAAATATTCTTACACGCATCTGTAATATTAACGTTCAATTCAGATGCCAACGTCGAATAGGATCATGAATGAAGTCAGCTGACCTCGCGTCAATCGGCGTAACTAGGGTAACGGTCTGATGTAGGTAATAAACTATTATTGGTGATTACAGTCACGAAACTCTATCCTAACTAAAATGTCTATGTTTGTATCGGAAGAACAGAGCCATATGCCATATGATATAGTTAGTCATGTTAGTATTTTCCGTTTAAGGGTATTCAAATGGCCTGTATGCTCAACGATTCGCAAAGATATTTTCGATGGAAGAGGATTACACCAAGGGCGTATTAAGAAGCCTTCTTAATACGCTCTTGATTACACTAGTGCATGTCAATCCATTGTTAATGCCTCTATACATGCATGTGTGGCAACCACACTCACATCATATCATCTCGATTGAGTGCTTAACCAGAAAGATAAAGTCATCGAATTGCATAGATGAAGACCTTTAGGATGTTCAGAAAGTGCTATTGATCTCATGCGTACTGGTACATATCTTCTTGGAATGTAGCGCATGATCTCGCCTGGCATCGTAACTAGCAACGACGGTAATTGTCATTTGTTTAAAAGCTTTTTTGCACGCGTGAAGTGAATGCACTACGCGGGCAGTGCGTAGAGTCGTCTCTGTTAAAACCTCCGTTAATTGCTTCCGTTAATTGCCTCCGTTAATTGCATATGAACAGCGTCGTGCAATCGCACGTCACGACGGGATATAGCGTTATTCAATTAGCTCGTTAATAACTGGTAATTAAAATCCTTAATGATACGTCAGTATATTTTTTATCATCATCATACGTAGAAAAACAACGTTATATTATATGTATTATATAATATCCCAGCTAGTAATTATATATAGCCGCGAATGAAATGCTTAAACAGCAGGCTAAAATAGTCTAATTATGTGTATATACTGTAAAGACGACGTTTTTGAGCAATTAAGGATAATGATATTTGGAAGATGCAATTTATTCCTAGCGACTGGCGCGCATTAATTCTCTGCACAACCATTGTCCCTAGACATGATTTGTTCATGGAAATATGTTCCAACGCGGATCCTGCTATAGGCAAAATTCAGAGGGAATGTATGACGGAAGCGCTTAGATAATCTAGGCGATGGTTTTGGATTGGCGTTAGCATATTTATAAAATCAAGAGCACCTAAACCACCTATGTTACACATTAGTCTCCGTGCTTTTCGTAAATACATACGCGACAAAACGCGCGTGTCATAAATAATAAAGATCAACGATCTACTTCTCAGAAGCCTCCTCCAGACTTCTATCCATCCTACTAGATAGAGATTTGTAGCAAGAACCAAAATCGGCACAACCCCGCGTATTTTTCCGCGGTGTTTACAGATGATTGGCTAGTTCACTTACTCTCTATTGACAATTGTTGACTCTTGCTCGTTATCTGTACTAACAGCAATAAGAAAATACCCAGGCAAATCCATTATCGTTCAGTCGTCCACAATGTCAACGCAACCGTACATAAACACGATGAGCTGCAAGCAGGGCCCGATTTAGACATGTGGAGGCCCGTGGGCAGCCATCATTTGTGGAGGCCCACCCTACCTTAGAAAGAATACTAAAACCTAAAAGGTAACAAGACATAGATACATATTATGTGTATAGGGCTATCTTGCAAAATAAAAAAGTCAACTGCAATAAGAGAGAGAATATTGGCTACGTTGAACTGTTGGTACGTTTCTCCCTGTAGTTGACTATACCATTCACAAACAAATACAATATGGGTTATGCCGCTATGTCTTACGTATGTAAGATGTAAAATGCGCACAATAACGGTTTGGTTTTGATTGATACGGGTTGCGTGCATGTCATTCAGGTCAGCCTATATTTTTTCTTAACAATCTTTTTTAAATCAAATATGTAGAGGCCCCTGGTTTGTGGAGGCCCGTGGGCAGCTGCACACTCTGCCCACTCCTAAATCGGGCCCTGGCTGCAAGCATATCCGACGCAATGCTACCCACACCGGGTACAGTAGCACGGGAATTTGAGTGGAATTGTCTACGTAATTGTGCAGAACGTGTGTCGATGCGTTTTACGATCTATGTGTCCCCAGTTTGAGTGAGGTGGGTGAAATAGCACAAACAATGCCTGTAACGAAAATTGTTCTGGGCTTCATGCCTGTAACTCGTAATCAATGGTAGACATTTACAGTGTTCTGTTGTGCCAATGCCCAATGTATGCTGATTATGAGGTCGACGCACCCGTGTGCGTGAATTAATAGTAGGTCTCAGGGGAGAGATAGTGAAAATAGAAATAAGTTGTGGATATAGAAATCAGTTAACCCTAACCCTAACCCTAACCCTAATCCTAACCCTAACCCTAACCCTAATCCTAACCCTAACCCTAACCCTTTCCCTAATTCTAAAATAAAACAAAATTAGCAAAAAATAATAAAAAATAAAATAAATAAGAGAAAATTAGCCAATCAGAGCCGTCCCCTAGCGGATCACTATATCTCTCCCCTGTGCAAAATTCGTTAATTAACCGTTTTGTCCGCGTATCCCGAACATCATGATCATAACTTGTGCCCGGTGTCAACTCCTTGCTCGGTTTACAACGCAGAGTGTGCGAGAGTCCAGTTTGCAGAGCATGTAACCAACGAGTGGCCGCACCGAAGCGCGTCTCGACGTCAATGGTCTCATCCTAATTAACAGTAAATGGCGACTAAGCCGCTCCCTGCGACAAGTTTTTCCTTTTAACGGCCAGCGGATCGGTTTCAAAACGTGTTTGCAAAGCTCGGCCAGTGCGCAGCGAGGCCGAATTTGCGTGCGGCAGAAATTGGTCAACGGTGGAATTGTACGAGCTGCGTATGCCGGGAGCTGACGCTTACCACACACTCACTCACTTAGCTAGTAGCCGTGCACTCACTCGTGGCGGTTATGCACATTCGACTTTCATAAATGCCAAGCGCTTATGCTCTCCTAATGACTCCCATGAACATGTCGTTATGCAAGGACTGCCTGCCGGCACTGATGGTGCACCTCAAGAGACATGCACGGCCAATGTTTACCTGTCTGTTCGTCCGTCCGTCTATCCGTCCGTCTGTCTGTCTGTCTGTCTGTTTGTCTGTCTGTCTACCTGTCTACCTGTGTGTCTGTCTGTCGGTGTGTCTGTCTGTCTGTATGTCTGTCTGTCTGTCTGTCTGTCTGTCTGTCTGTCTGTCTGTATGTCTGTCTGTCTGTCTGTCTGTCTGTATGTCTGTCTGTCTGTCTGTCTGTCTGTCTGTCTGTCTGTCTGTGTGTCTGTCGGTGTGTCTGTCTGTCTGTCTGACTAATATATATATATATATATATATGGTTGTAGAATAACACGCCAGCATCGTGGTACGACGCGCCAAGAAGGATGATAGCGTGTGGGTGGGCACGTATAATTTCTCATCCAGCGTCTCCTATTTCCTACGACTATCTGCCGGCATGGCAGGTGCTGACGCGGTCAACCGAACTTGCATTATTTCGCCCATACAAAAATCGAGTATCCAGTGGCAATACATCCATCGTCTGTGATAGGATGCGACGTAATACATGTTAGTCCTGCCGTGATATATTCTTATAGTTTCTATTGAAAATTAAAATTATTGGATATTTTTGCTCTGGAACCGAATGTAACATATCAGTAATTGTTGATATGGTTCCGTAATTGAATGTCAGAGTAATTCCCGAAATTTTTTTGTTATTGTACGCGTTTATCGACGTGTTAATAAAGCGTTAACGTTAAGCGTAAAATATGGGTTTTAGAAATTCGAATAGTAAATTAGTCATAGTAAATTACAATGTAGCATGTCATTTCAACGCGCGCTACTGAGCCTTGGATTCAAAGTTAAATTAAAACGGGTGTAGCTTTTGTAGTCTAACTCTAGCTATTATTGAACACTTCCTGTACGGAAAATTCTCCTAAAAACCTCAATTGTAATTGCTAAAATAAATCATTATAAGGCACCCGCCTGTGTAACACAGCAATGGAGGGCACCTCATATATCAAAACTCTATTCAGACATGCGGCCATAAAATCCAATTAATTAAATGAGTCGTACTTTTGCGCTCACAGTTTTTTTTTTTGCACATTAGTGTACTAGCTAAAAAAAAAACCATTTTAATGTGCCCAGCTGCATATATAGTGTAGCTAACAGCATCATCTGTGTGTTCAAACATGAAATTCAGACATGTAGGTTACTAGGAACTGTATGTGCCGATTATTAACGACAACAAGTCTACCCCTTCCTTGATTTGCAACCACATCACCGCACGGTACCCTGACTAACGATAACTTTTACCCATAGTAACAACCGTGCGAGAGTTGAGAATGCGTTCTTTACTGCGTCTCACCAAACCGTTTTAGTATGCATATTACGCTCGAAATAGTAAATATTCTTACACGCATCTGTAATATTAACGTTCAATTCAGATGCCAACGTCGAATAGGATCATGATTAAATCAGCTGACCTCGCGTCAATCGGCGTAACTAGGGTAACGGTCTGATGTAGGTAATAAACTATTATCTGGTGATTACAGTCACGAAAACTCTATCCTAACTGAAAATTTCTATGTTTGTATCGGAAGAAACAGAGGCCATATTGCCATATGATATAGTTAGTGCATGTTAGTATGTTTCGTTTAAGGGTATTGCAAATGGCCTGTATGCTCAACGATTCGCAAAAGATATTTTCGATGGAGAGGATTACACGCAAGGGCGTATTAAGAAGCCTTCTAATACGCTCTTGATTACACTAGTGCATGTCAATCCATTGTTAATGGCCGTCTATACATGCATGTGTGGCACCGACACTCACATCATATCATCTCGATTGAGTGCTTAACCAGAAAGATAAAGTCATCGAACTTGCATAGATGAAGACCTTTAGGATGTTCAGAAAGTGCTATTGGATCTCATGCGTACTGGTACATATCTTCTTGAATGTAGCGCATGATCTCGCGCTGGCATCGTAAAACTACCAACGGACGGTAATTGTCATTTGTTTAAAAGCTTTTTTTGCAGCGCGTGAAGTGAATGCACTAACGCGGCAGTGCGTAGAGTCGTCTCTGTTAAAACCTCCGTTAATTGCTTCGCGTTAATTGCCTCCGTTAATTGCATATGAACAGCGTCGTGCAATCGCACGTCACGACGGATATGAGCGTTATTCAATTAGGCTCGTTAATAACTGGTAATTTAAAATCCGCTTAATGATACGTCAGTATATTTTTATATGCATCAATAGCGTAAAGATATATATATATATATATATATATATATATATATATATATATACATATATCTACCAGATAAACGTTTCCGAGATAAATATCTCCCAGATAGATGTCTCGTAGATATGTGTTTCTCATATATATAATATAAATAATATAAATGTCTGCCCGATAGACCGATAGATACTTAGCTATATTCAGATGAACTATAGCTATATAGACCCGGCTAGATGCTTAGCTATATTCAGATAGATGTCTATCACAGGGACATCGCCTAGTTAGATGTCTGTCCTGATAGATGTCTACCAGAGGGACATCTTTTAGTTAGATGTCTGTCCTGATAGATGTCTACCAGAGGGACATCTCCTAGTTAGATGCCTGTCTTGATAGATGTCTACCAGAGAGACCTCTCCTGGTTAGATGTCTGTCCTGATAGATGTCTACCAGGGGGACATCTCCTAGTTAGATGCCTGTCCTGATAGATGTCTACCAGAGGGACATCTCCTAGTTAGATGTCTGTCCTGATAGATGTCTACCAGAGGGACATCTCCTAGTTAGATGCCGACATCTATCAAGACAGTGCGTGTATCTGCGTGTACGTTCGTGTACCCGCGTGTACCTGCGTGTACGTGCGTGTACCCGCGTGTACGTGCGTGTACCTGCGTATACGTGCGTGTATGTGCGTGTACGTGCGTGTACCCGCGTGTACGTGCGTGTACCCGCGTATACGTGCGTGTATCTCCGTGTACCCGCGTGTACGTGCGTGTATTTCCGTGTACCCGAATGTACGTGCGTGTATCTGTGTGTACGTGCGTGTACCCGCGTGTACGTGCGTGTACCCCCTCTGTGCGTGCCTGCCTGAGCAGCCATTGTTTACAAAATTGCCTAGCTTAGCCTCGTTTTCGTGCGATGACCCCAGGTCATGAATAATATTTAAGACTGGTAGGTGGAAGAAGGAAGGTGGAAGGTGGAAGGTGGAAGGTGGAAGATGGAAGGTGGAAGGTGGAAGTAGGTGAAAGTAGTGGCTGGAAGGTGGTAGCTATGTTTATTGTTCTACTACATTGACAGCGTGGAGTGCGAGCTTGCGGCGCGAGCGCGGAATCCACAATGTACTGCGCGGAAGACCTAGTAGACGAGAGCGTGCACGAAAACGTAGTCTGTCATCTCAGTGTAGGCCTTTCATGTGGGGTTTCACGCATACTAAAAGCACGCAGGGCTGTGTGCTAAATTGCCGATGAAAAACTGGATGGATGGTTGATTGAACCCCTCTTCGTCGCAATCATAGTTAATGACGGGTTTGTGTGCGAGTGCATGCACGCGTATAAGAACAATTCGACGTTCGTCCAGGCGTGCTGTCCCGCTAGCAAAAGCTCATCACACAAGCCGAAAAGATACAAGCTGAAGGTCATTTACGCGTGCGCAGTGAATGCGACCGTCGGCGATGACGATTAGCTGACATGAGTGCACTCAGATGGTTTCGAGATAGTCGAAAGGCACACGATGACATGTGATCGACGCCACCACTGCACACTGAATTCGAACGCCAGTATCACGTCGCGCGTATATATATATATATAATATATCAGCAGATTTTCCATCGAAATTTTATAATACGCACGTGCGCGCGCGAGTGTGCAGACGAGGCGCAACGCGGCGGAGCTGCCTATTGATTGCCTGTTCGTTCTATATCCCGCAGTGATTAGACTGAGTGTGCTTCATGAACGACTTCCACAAGACGTGATAGAGCGCGTGGGGAATCTACGCTCCGAGAGAAACGATACCGCTGCGTGCACGCTAGCCCGCGTGCGTCGACCGTTCACGCCTCCTGCGCCAATCCAACGTCATTCTAACTATCGCCCGGACGGTGTGCGTCGTCGCTGACGAACATGTATTTTCACGTATACGCGTATGGATAACGTCGGCGATGTAACCGCGTGGTCGCCTCGGCGACTACGGAGGAACTGAGCGGCGACAGTGACCATGACGATGCCGGGAGACGTGCGCCTCTGGTTTTCGGCATCGGAGAGCTGCGTGGCGACGGCCTCCGTTGTCGGCAACGTGTTCGTGATGCTCGCCATCTATTACAACCCTCGTCTGCAGAGGGCGAACAATCTCTACGTGCTGTCGCTCGTCGTGTCCGATCTCATGGTCGGTCTCTTCTGCTGTCCGCTCGTGCTCGTCACGAGCTACGGACAGCCGCGCAACTACCATCTATGCGTCTTCCTCACGGCCACGATGCTGTTCATACGCTTCGTACCGATCTTCACGCTAGTCGTGGCGGCGATCGACAGGTACTTCGCCGTGACCGACTACGAGTGGTACAAGAGGTCGATGACGAAGAGAAAAATCACGCGGCTGCTCGTGCTCGCGTGGACAGTAGCCTTCCTGATTGGTAATCTACCCAGCATGGGTTGGAACCTTGGCTATGTCTCAGACTTCAGGTGAGTTGTATTATTTGGAGCTCGAGTGCGGACTATCGCTATATCTATAGACAGACTACCTCTACCGATGTAGCCCCTTCTCTTTCGCTACAGGATTCCTGTAGCGCGAGCGAAGGGGCTACTCAAGTAGAGTTATAGACAAGCATAATGCTGCTCCTTTAGCATTGTTACATTTGAGCATGTCTCGGCGTAAAAGTGTGTCTTAGTGCGATAATTGCCACCGTGAGCTATACATATAAGCTGCAATATGATTACGTATAGACTAAATTACTATTATTATAAACCCTAACTATTATATATTCACTTCAATAATCCGAATTACATCAAAATGCGTGAAATGTGCGCGTTCATTCGTATCGCACTGTATAGCCGGTGCTATTAATAAGCTTGGTCACGGATTAAACTAGCGAGGCAGAAACCATTTCAAGCCTTCTAGCAAACATGAAATTTGCCCACGGACGGGCTTTCAACCAATCCCTGACTCATAAACCCTGACAACTAAATGATACTGGCTGGCTCGCGTATATCCTTTCCACGTCCCGTCTCTGTCCAACGCGCACTGAATTTATGTGCATCATTTCCGTTATATGCTGTAATAGTTGCATAGAGTGTTGCCGAATCATTCCTCTGTTCGTGGCAGCGTTGAGAGTGTATAGCTTTCAGGGTCATCCAGCTGCGCGCATTGATCTCCACGATATGTCTGAGAGTTTCTAAACGCACCCGCGGATTATAGTACACGCTGCGATAATGGAATGACGACGAACGAGCAATACGTGTTCTCGGAAACCTATAAACTTTTATGAGCAGGTATAACGTTATTAGCTGGTAGCACGAGTGTTTTAGCCTGCATGCGTGTCGCGGTATGGCATGGCTGCACCAACTTTGCGTCGCGACGGCGACGAGACCCGGCCGCTACTGTATAATTATTATCGATGTGGTATAGGTGTAGTAGTTGTAGTGGTAGCATTAAAAGCTCAAGACCAAGCGGGTTAAGCGCCAGTCCCCGTGCCACATGAAGTTGTAATCGGCATGGCTGTTTAAGGGGAGATTCGCTACCCACGCTCTAAAATGCGCCTATAGTATATATATATATAGGCCTATATGTATAGTAAATATAAATTATTGTGTCGAGAAACTCTTATCGACTCTTCGCGCATGTACGATGTAGGCCTTGGCTGCAATCGTGCCTGGTATGAAAAAAATACATGATTCCGTAATCACGCTATACTGTGTGGTAAGAAAAGAACGTGGTGGTGAAAAATGTAGTACTTTCAAGTATATGTTGACTACATAAGAAAACTGAAATAAACATTTCAAAGAATTGCAGGGGACTACACGTTATGCTATTTACAAAGCATGGCCGTTATACATGCAGGCAATGTGCCGTAGATCGAATGCTCAGATTGAGACATAATTCATACGTGTACATTGACATGGCCTACTTGACGCTTACTGTGGCGCACATTTCAGGCTGGTTGCAAACGTATCTACCTTCTCTGTGCTTTCTCTCTCGTGGTCTAATCAATTGTTCCGTTGCACATGGACACGCGCCGTTTACTCTCTCAATCAAACACCAGACGCGCATATTTTACCGTCATACACGATAAACATGCAGCGACGAAAATTATGGCGACCACGAGCCGACGGCATCAATAAACTCGCGGCGATAAATTTAACGTGAAACCCGTGTCACAGACGCGTCTAAGCAATATGAATTTAGTTGATACGAATGTTCTGTCACACGAGTCGCCAGTGTCGTCGTTTGACTTTACTGCTGTCAGGGAAAATTTGTGACCGAACCAACGATTTATTGGCGAGTGGGTCGCGCGTAACCGGTGTCAGCGTTAAAACGCGCATGCGAGTGCGGAAGTAACGAAGTAAGAAAATCATCCAATCGCACGTTGTGCAATCAATATAAGCAGGTTAAGATAAGTACATGAAAGTGAGCAGTGACGATAAAATTATAATTACTCCTCATAATTAGACTTACAGTGGTAATGGAATGTATCGTATATAAACGCCTAAACGATGGCCAGATACGTGTACAAACCACGCATCTAGACGAATAGCCTTCTAACCCCACATCTACAAAGCCCCATTAATCTACGAAATTGAGCAAGAAACAGGAACTCTTCACAATGCAAGGTTGTATAGATAGTTTGTAGTAGTTGTATAGAGGTTTAAGCAGGATGTTAGATAGATATGTATATCGTGCTAGAGGTAAAACTCTCAAGTGGTTCAGTGAGTTTAGACTACATGACGTTTACGACGTTTCAATCTAATTATTGTACAAAACTTTACGTATACTAGACTACAATACTAGAAGCGGAAGGTTTGTGCGGAGAGTGCGAGGCGAAACGAAAATGGCGACGCCAACGCTCAAAAACCTACTGTATACGCGGGTATAGTACGCTTGTCACTTAAAGGCGGAGTGGGTATAACTCTTCCTATATTTTCGCAAACAAACCTGAATATATTTGACCGATACTGTTCTATACAATTCAACTAGATACATACGCGGTTACAGAGTCAGAGTCCAGGTGACTACAGTAGCTGTCAATCTAAAAGCCACTTTAGAAATTCAACAAATTGTTTTGTTTATATAATTGTCAGGTTAATGTCGTATAGGCCAACACGTCACATCGGCATTTAAAAATTAAATCAAGTATATCTATCTGCATTAGCGTTAAGATTCATTAAAAGAGTCTTCACTAACGGATAACCAGGGTTAACACAGGATTCTGCGATCGGGTTTTAAAGTCGGTACGTTTTTTTCACAGTGACAGACTCGTGACCGCAAAGATTCTTTCACAATGGGCCCCAGCTTGTGTTGAGCGTGTTTCATCCGGTACGGAACATCTTCTTTACTAGTCTCCGGTCTAGGTGGTTAATGGAAGCTGCATGTTTACATTCTAACAATAAATGTCCGATTATGCGCTAAACGTTCTAACCGACAAAACACGATCACGCGCAAACCATAGAGATCCTATTATATATGCAGTGTGTATAATAGGATCTCTATGACGCAAACGGCCAAGTTAAATTAAAGTGCAATAAAGTTTATTTCATTATTTATCCTGAAACTTACAGGGTTACACGGTTGTTTCAGTTTGCCTGTCATTGGATTTTGTCAAATTTAATCTAGTCTGTGTTTATACAGATGGAACAGTATAGTGTTGGAAGTTATATTCCTCTTCAGCAGTTTATTTTTCAAACGCTATTACCATTGAGCTTTTACTACTATTTTAAATTATTGAGTGGCTTACAATGTATTATCTACAATGCAACCTATTTTCAAAACTCATAATTAATTCAAATACAAAATTCCATTTAGGCCACGTATTTTCAATTTGAAGCCCGTTCTCAACATTTCGATGGTAATTTACACCTTTAAATAATGTCCTGCTGTATTATTCATTTTAACCCAAGTACTCGTTGTTATACGCAATTTCGCACTACAAATTCAAATTTTTCTTTTCAATCACTTTTCAAACCAAATTAATGTATTTACAACTAATGTGCGCTGTCATACTTAGTTTAGGTATCCAGGATCAATTTTACATTTTAAGCTGAATTTCCGCTAACGCAATTTCAATTTTCATATTCAAATACATTTTTCAACAATGCATTCGGGTTTAATATTGAACTAAAAAACGAGAACCTGTAATTTCTTTAACTAGCCAGCTCCCTGTTAAATAAATGTAATATTGCAGATTTTACTTACGTTATATACTTTCTCCTAGATAAACATCTAGCTCCATAACGCTATTGTACGCACATGAAAAATACACACGAATTGGCGGTTATATTCACAATATCGTGTGAATATTACACCACAATAACCACACATACTCAGTGTTATAACTATGCTCCCAGTGGTGGTTAATTACCTGGAGAAAGGTAAAGTAATAACTGAGTAATTTACTAGGTGATATGATTCGGGCGCAATTTTATTTGGCCTATATGAGGACTAATTACATTTCAACATAATACATTCGACATATACGACATAATACACATTAAAACGCAACGCGTTTCAGGTGACACGTATATGTACGTTCATTTTTGCCTCTTTGAAACACGCCTTTCTGTCTGCGTGCAATTAAAAGTTACGAAAGCTGTCGAATAGTTTCCGTGAGGATGTTTTGTAAGGATGCCCGGGTGGATTCCTATGAGGATGTTCGTGATGAGACGTAGTATCTTACTATATACAGTATGTGCTATTGCTCTCGTTTCTATTCATGAAAATCCGTAATGAAACTTACATCATAAAGCTGGATAGTCAGCTATATTTCTTGCTTTATATTTATAATTTTTTTATTATATTTTTTGTTTAGTGCCATGGCAACAGCCAATCCGCGCCGCTTATGCAAATTAATGCCACTATCCGAGGAATCGTGTACCGGGGAGAAATACACATTTTTTTCCGGAAATAGCCGAACGGTAGTAGGGCGCAACTTCGGGATCGCTCGGGTCCATAATACACATGTCTACACATGTATACGCATTGTGAACGCTAACCCTAACCCTAACCCTAACCCTAAACAGAAAAAAACAAAAACAGATGCGATTCGAACCAACGACCTTCCAGGGAGCGTAAGAACAGTTGTGTCACCTCGGAAGGGGATGTCCCTCTGGTAGACATCTATCAGGACGGGCATCTAACTAGGAGATGTCCCTCTGGTAGACATCTATCAGGACAGACATCTAACTAGGAGATGTCCCTCTGGTAGACATCTATCAGGACAGGCATCTAACTAGGAGATGTCCCTCTGGTAGACATCTATCAGGACAGACATCTAACTAGGAGATGTCCCTCTGGTAGACATCTATCAGGACAGGCATCTAACTAGGAGATGTCCCTCTGGTAGACATCTATCAGGACAGACATCTAACTAGGAGATGTCCCTCTGGTAGACATCTATCAGGACAGGCATCTAACTAGGAGATGTCCCCCTGGTAGACATCTATCAGGACAGACATCTAACTAGAAGATGTCC